TTTAAAGGATATTTTTGGTTACTGTCCTATAGTATACATTGGAATGATTTCAAACCTGTTTATCCCAATAATTATAAAGGAGTGCCTTGGAAATATGTGTTTACATCAATTGTGATCAAAACGTTTGAGACCCACTGAGATAACTTAGACTAAAGTGAACTATCTAAACACTCAGAGTCCTTTACCTCACTGAGCTGTAGTTATCAGCCTCTCAGTCTGACTGGAGAGGACTCTCCCTCCACATCATTGTAGAAACATATTCTTCTTATATCCGTTAGAGCAGCTAGCACCAGATTCTAATAACAACTGCGCCGGAACCGGTGCACCTTCCCTCTCTCCCTCGCATTTTGGCTGTGAGCTGTGGGTGCCAGATAAGCCAACATCCCCCATTTTCATCACTTACAGCGCCCATTGTACAGAGCAAATGAAACGTGTAACCGGGGTGAAAAGGGTGTTACATTTACTTAATTATGAATGTTGTTAAATCAAGACCGAAAATTAGGATGAGCCCCAACGGTCAAAAATGTTTTTTTCCCTTCCAGAACTGTCAGCGCAGAGCCTCCACAGATCTGGCGCCCTAGGCGAACATCTATAACGCCAGAGCTACGGGCCGGCCCTGAGTTCATATGCAAATGTCTTTCTCTCTCTCCTCTCTTCTATATTTTCTCTTCTCTCTTCTCTCTTCTCTCTCTTCTCCCTCTCTCAATGTTGGTACACAAATGCGCCTTTTGTCAAATGACCCGGTGCTCTTTTTTTGGCGGAGGTGCGCATGCGCACCTGCGCACCAGTTATGTGCAGCCCTGGATATAACACATCAATGAATACACTCCATCACTGGTTTAAGTAAACACATCACAAATATATCATAGAAAACTGGTTGTTTTTGTGGAGGACAGACTCCAATATAATGTAAGCATAAGAGGAGAGTACACTCGATTCACATGATTATATTGATTATATTGTAGTGTCGGAATCAGACTCTTCTGATTCTTGCTCACAAACAGGGGTACGGTGGAATGTACAAGGTATACGATTCTCGTAGCTGTGGCGCAAAGTAGGATTGTCCTGTAATGGAATAGCAGCATACTGAACGAACGCTGAGGATACCATGCTGGAAACGCACTTCTTCAGTATTGGGATAATCAAACAGGTACAACTGATTAATAGGTCGAAAATGATCGCCAGGGTTGTAACTATCCTAGCCAGCCATCCTTGCCACCCCCCGATGTAAGCCAGGACCACCAGTCCCAGCCGCCTGCGTTGGATATGTCATCCGCTTTCATGTCGGCTAACAAGTTGTTAAGATGCAGCACGGTGTCAGTGATGTTCTTGGTGGCATCGGGAATGTAAGTGCAACAGGAGTCACCGATCACATGACACAGGCCACCCTTTGAGGCGAACAAAAGGTCAAGAACAAATTGGTGCTGCATGAGCATATTCCTAGAGGCTATTATGAATGGGGGCAATGCCTGGAAGCCTTGCGTCGTCTCGTAAGTGAGGTTCTCTAGTCGAACATGTAAGGTATCTATGTTATGGGCATTGTTTACTGTACCCCACCATGGGAACAGGCCGCCAAAGAATTTAGCTCCAGCGGACGTCAGATCTCTTTTTACCTTGTGGTGGTCGTGGTGTTGGAACTGGGTAATGATGTGTCGTGTGCATTAAGGACGTGAGGACAGTGACTACTGGATTCAAATCCACTAGAGTGCATGTACCTATCCAGAGGGGAGCCAGCATTTGATAGAGCTTGTCGCCGCACAACCAAACGTAATCTTGTGGCGAGCTAAACCCAGCATCACTGGGCCAGGCCAGTTGGAGGGAAATATGGTTAACATCAGGGAATGCTACGTTAGAAAGGATTCTTCCAGGGACACTGAATATGCAATACGAGATATTGTAAACACCGTAACTGCACTGTGCTATCTTCCCCATCCCTTAGAGTAATGTTACCAATCCCTGTCTTGACCAGCCCCTCTGCCCATGTGGTTCGCCCTGCTCTCCCCATGTACACTCAAAAAAACGATTCAAGCCCTTTTTAGACTTGACACATTAATAATTGTTTCACTTTACTTAAATATTTTTATTTAAGAAATAAACCTAAGTATAGTTCATTAGTGTAACACAAATTACATTAATCAATTCACTTATTAAATGTATTTAAGACAGAGCAACTCAAAATGAATTGTTTTCATTTGGGACCGCCCCTTTGCACATCACCTTTGCGCATGCACAAAATCCGTTCTGTCATTTGCCGCCTTTTGTCTAACACTGACTGTGGAAACTGACTGTGGAAATTGACTGGGGAAACTGACGGTGGAAAGTCTATTATTTGGTAAGTATTTGTTTTTTCTAGTAGTTTAGAATGTTCCCTGTTTCCAAGTAGGCCTAATGCCTTTTCATTATATCGACAAGAATATTTGAAACCACCGTGTTATATTTTGCTCCGTTTTTAGTTGGGTCTAAACAGCAAGCTAGCTAGCTTGCTAGATATGGTTAGCATTGAATACTGGATAGTAGAGATCATTAGATTATATTAAATTAGATGTCACGTTATTGTCATTGAACACAGTACACCGAAATTCAGTTTAAATTCAACCAAAAAATGCAAAGAGTAATTAAAGTGCACGAGGTAAAGCGGCAAGCTAGCTAGCTGGATAACTGGTTTGTTAGCTAGCTTGCTAGATACGGTTAGCATTGAATACTGGATAATGGAGATCATTAGATTATATTACATTCGATTTAACGTTATTGTCATTGAACACAGTACACCGAAATTCAGTTTAAATTCAACCAAAAAATGCAAAGAGTAATTCAAGTGAATGAGGTAACAGTATAGGAGGCAGAGCCTGCATGCAGCCCAGTAAGCGCCGCCATTTTCTATCATAAAGCTCAGCAGGTCTGTCCATCTCTCTCCTGGCCTTAGTGCAGGCAGGCAGAGGAGGACAGGCGGAGCCACTCGTTTCTGTAGGAGTTCAGTTGAGTTTAGTTTTTTACTGCCAAATATTTAATATAAATAATGAGATAATATATATATGTGAATCTTGTATGGGTTACCTCACTCACAAGCAGGCACCCAGAGTTGTGCAGAAACGTAGGCCTTCTTTATAAAACATGTCTACTAGACTCTTAATTTTAAAGTGTGATCTGTTATCATTTTTTTTTTGGGTTGTGCAATCTTAGGCAATTATGTGTTGTCTGTGAAAATTCAAATATATAAGCATTTTAATCACACCTCTAATATATTTATGTTGTCTTTTGCAGTTTGATCAGCATTAACAAGCATCTTGGGGCAACCTCTTATTTATGGTAAGTACACGGCTACTTTCACATTACTTGCATAAGCTGATCTGTGACATTGTCAGTTGTTCAGTGTCAATTGCTAATTCTCTTTTTTCTCTTTTTCAGGTTATGCATGTGGCAGTGCAAACACTGCAGTTTGGAACTAGCTAGCAGGTATTTGTTGTTAAAACATTTCCGGCAGACACATGCACATTTAAGGGGCAGTTGTCGCTATCCATGTCCATATACTGATTGCCCATGTTCGTTTGACACATGGAGTAAACTTTTAAATCACACATACAAAACTCATGCTAAACAGCTAACACCAAAGCCAGTAGAATTACCTACATTTAAGTGTCATGTGTGCTCACGTAGAGACTTAACAGAAAAATATTTCTTCCAACATATTAATGGACATCTCAGGCATAATGAAACTGTACCATGTATGTTTCTAGGATGCACATTTAAAACTAACATTTACAGTACATTCAACACACACAAAAATAGGAAACACAGACAACATTCACTTAAAGACTTTATAGCCAATGTTGTCAGTACAAGTGGTGAGTTGGATCAGTCACACAGTTCTGCAGTTGGTCCAACGGAGTCTGTCGATATAGACCAGGAATATGAAACACTAAGTTGTGGTGATGCTTCAGAAATACACCTTCCAAATTTAATCGAAGAAAAAATTGCATGCATTTTATTGAAGTTGGAAAATATTGTTCACATTCCAAAGACAGTTATTGATGAAGTCCTTTCTGAACTTCACTACATATTAAGTACATCATCTTTGCCTGTCACTAGAGCTATTGTTTCTGATGTATTACAGAGCCATAAACTACAGGTTGAAGATTCAGTAGTTGGTGAGCTTTCCACTGCTCTATGCAATTCTAGTCCATTGGCCACAGCTATTGCAAAGGATGGCCCTCTTGCTACAGCATATAAACGTACACAGTACTATACATCTCATTTTGGTGTTTTAGAGCCGGTTGAGTACATACTAGATGCCCAGAGGAATAGGACATTTCAATATATCCCTCTGTTAAAGTCTTTGCAACATTTGCTCTCTCATAAAGGTGTCCTTGAACATATTGAAACGCAACAGCGGCTATTGGCTGTTCCCCAAGAGTACAGAACTGTAAGAGACGGTGAGTACTATAAACAGAATTCGTTTTTTTCTGATGAAGGTTTGAGAATCTCTGTAAATCTTTATGTTGATGATTTTGAGATTTGTAACCCTCTTGGGACATCTCGAAAGACACACAAACTTTGTGGTGTATATTGGGTTTTGGGTAATTTGCCACCAGGTTCCCATTCAACACTAAACTCAATCTATTTAGCTGTTCTATGCAAATCTGATGATGTTAAGACCTATGGCTATGGAAAAGTGTTGGAGCCTCTCTTGCAAGACTTAAGCATATTAGAACAGCACGGTGTATTTATATCTCAGCTTGGTCAGTTTGTTAAAGGTTCTGTCCAGTGTGTTATAGCTGACAATCTTGGAGCCCATGGGCTCGGGGGATTTGTTGAGAGTTTTTCAGCTGGGTCAGTATGCAGGTTTTGTATTGGAGTCAAATCAGATTTTCAGACTAAGGATGTCCAGTCAGGTGCTTTCCAACTGAGAACAAGAGACATCCATGATGTTCATGTCCAGTCTGCTCAGGAGAATGCAACTATTTGCTGTGGTGTAAAAAAGCAGTGTTTTAACAGAGCACCTTTCCCATTTTCATGTAACTACTGGTTATCCTCCTGACATTGTGCACGACCTTTTTGAAGGTGTTGTACCAGTTGAACTGGCTCGTTGTATGAGTTTGTTGATCTCCAAAAAATACTTCACTTTTGAAAGGCTCAACACATTGATTCAGACATTTCCGTACAAATGGGGGGACAGAACCAATCGCCCCCATGCCATACCACGCTCTTTCACATCTAGAAACACAATAGGTGGCAATGCGCATGAAAACTGGACCTTAATAAGACTGCTTCCCTTTGTGATTGGGCACATTTTACCAGAAGATGAACCAGCGTGGCAGCTAATTCTAGATCTTAAGGACATAGTTGAGTTGGTTGTGGCCCCTGTTCACACAGATGAGACCATTGCTTATCTTGAAGCCAAGATCTATGATCATAGGCAGCGCTATCTTGAACTCTTTCCACATGTAAAGCTCTTACCAAAACATCACTTTTTAGAGCACTATCCGCAAATGATTCGTTGCTTCGGGCCTCTAATTGTACTGTGGACAATGAGATTTGAGGCTAAACATAGCTTCTTCAAGCAGGTTGCTCGTCACACCAATTGCTTTAAGAACATACCTCGTTCACTAGCTACTAAACACCAGTTCATGCTTGCCTATCACACACATTCCTCCAGTGTCAAGAAGTCATCCTTGGAGGTCACACATGTCTCAATCCTGCCTGTTGATGTCCTTAATGAGGGAGTCGTGTCTACACTGAAACAAAGTTTCCCAGATGTGACTGAGGTTCATATGGCAAACAATGTGTCTAGCTTGGGTATACGTTACTGCGAGGGGATGATTATTGTACACGGATCTGCAGATGGACTGCCTAAATTCCATGAGATCATTAAACTTTGCATTGTTAAGGAGAAGTTGTGTTTTCTGGTAAAAGACGCATGTGCTTGGTACAGAGAGCATTATGGTGCTTTTGAGCTGTCTGCCTCGCCCAATACAGAGGTTGCCGTTATTGAGCTTGCTGACTTGGTAGACCCCTATCCCCTTGTTGACTACATGGTTGGGAGTTTGCGCATGGTAATGTTGAAAAGATTCATCATTGTTAAAGGTGAGTATAATTTTTAAACCTAAATAGTCTGAGCTCTGGATAGCAGGCTCTGACAAAAACTGTAAAACCATTTTTATGTTCATCTTTGATATAATCCTAATGTGTTTCTTTCACCTTGTTTCTGCTCTAGATTAAAAGGTGTTCCATAATGGCAGGTCGGGCGCTTCTGCGCATCATCTTTGCCGACCAGTCTGACTCTAGAAAACTGACCCTGGATTCGGGAATCCCAGCAACAGTTGAAGAACTGCACACATTTGTCAAGACATCTCTTCAATTGAAAGAGGACTTCCGTCTGCAATACATGGATGTTGACTTTAACGAGTTCATGAATCTTACATCAGTGTCTGAAATTCAGGATAAAAGCACACTGAAAGTAATTTACTCTCCTATATTGTCAAATATTGAGCCCTCCATCACTTTGTACACAGTTGACTCATTTGATAAGACCTCAATTACTGGAAGCTCAGAGCCTCTAATCCCTGAATCATCAATAGCCTCATGCTGCAGTGATGATATGGTGTATACGTCAACCCCGCATCCATCCCCTGAAGCTCAGGCCTCACAATTGTTATCCTGGCCCACAGTTTTTGTGGTTCCTAAGCTCACCTACGAGGCTGAATTTGAGCTTCATCTAAAGAATGCAGAGTTTGAGACAACTGGTACATACTTCCAGCCTGGCCTAAAGCTGAAAGGAGTCATTCTTGATGGCCTAGCCCAAGAAATGATCAAATTCACAAAATATCCGAAAGACTATCAGTGTGAAGAGGTAGCTGCAGCGTTGACGAGGGCCCACCCTTGTTTGGGGCAGCTAGGATCCAAGACAGGATTTGGGGGGTGGAAACAGTCTCTTAAGTACAAAATGCAAAACTATCGTACAAAGCTTGGCCGTCTTGGACATCCTGAAATCCTTGTGAACTCCTTAAAGCACAAGAAAACAGGCCAAGGCAAAGCTGCAGCAAACATAAAAAAAACAAGAAAAGCTGAAGTAAACTACATTCCTCTGCACCCAAAAGGCGAAACCACAGAAAGCTTGGAGAACGAGAGAATTGCCTTATTGTCAGAACTGAAAAAGCGTGACAATGAAGTGGTGATAAAAGCAAAAATGGAAAAAAACCTTCTCCCACAGACGCCTTGAGATTGTGGAGCAAAGGCCTTTGATAGGGGACTTCAAATGCAGATGGCCTGCTCTGTTTCAGCAGAGTGAAGTAAGTAAATATTTGTATTTGTTGACAGTCTTTTATTATTGTCTTTTGTGATTCATGTCTACATCCTTGCATGGTTGTGATTCTAATAAACAAGTAACAATTGGTTGTATTGTGCTTGTTAATAATATTTTTAAGGTGAATGCGGAGTTTTTGAGGATCACAACATCACCACTTCAATCAAAGTTCATGTGGCAGCTGGACCACTTCTCAGACAAGCTCTTGAAGATCTTCAAGACCAAAGGAGGAGTGAAGGGGCACAAAATCAAGGAAGCCCTTGCAATATCAGATTCGGTTAGTATAAATGCAGAGAACCTCGTTTTTCACTGTATTGTTTTTGTCCATGATCATATGAACACATTTAAGAAATTGTCTGCTTTTATAGTGTTTTTAAGGCAATAGCTTATTGTGGAAATGTAGGTGTAAGGAGTCCTGCTTAGGGACACACACGACAGATACAGCCCTCTACGTTGTAAACTACCTGCTCTGTTGCACATGCATTGTGCTTAATTGTCTTTGATTTATCGCCCCTGCTTTAGTTTGAAAACATCCACATCAAGAGGGGGTGCATCCTGCGAAGCATCGCGATCTACCTCAACGAGGATCCAGACTCTTTTTTTAAGGAGTATCAGGTATGTTTATCACAATATGTTTTCAATGTATTGGTTAACAGTGTGACCCACAATTATAACCACCATTACTTACATTTATAATAAGAAAATTATATGGCACACAACCCTATCCCTGCTTACATCTAAATATCTTATCACATATCATAAATACATGCAGAAATAAATAAATCTATACATTAATATAGGAATGAATATATGTAAGAATGAATAAATACAGAAATAAAAAAATAATAATAAATAGATACAGAAGTAATTTCATCGGGCAAGTGTTAAAATAAATATAGAAAAAAGTGAATTAATACATTTATACAGATATAAATACATCTATAAATTAACATAGGAATACAATTGATAAATACAAATGTGAATTAAAACATGAATATATCTGGAAATAAATACAAATAATAAATGAATGCTGAAATAAATATTTACATTTATATATAAATACATCTATAAATGAATAAATAAATATGGACATGAATACATATGTAAGAACTTATAAATAATTGAATAAATACATAAATAAAATAATAAATAAATGCTGAAATATATTAATCAATAGATTCATGTTTAAAAAGGTATGTGAATGCAGCAATTACTAAATTGTTAAAGGAATAATTACATAATCACATAACAAGGAAATAAATTATTAAAGAATAAATAATCAAATACATATCGAAATAAGTAGGTAAATGCATAATTAACTACAGGAATAACAACAAATTACATTATTAAGTAGGGACGTAAACAAATAATACCTGAATTAATAAATAAGATAACGTTGATAATCAAACAGAACATACAGGAATATATCTTTATAACTTATTTATGCAAACATTTTCTTACAAGCTTAATTGAGTTCTGTGTTGGAGGTCCTAACCTTCTCTGGTATCACTCGGACATTTTTGTCCAAATTGGTAATTTTTCACATCAGATTTGGCTATAATGATTTTGTGTTTTTTCTAGATACTTTTTGGAATTTCAATTTTTCTAATCGGTCTCGAATACACTGTACAAATTACCCTAATTGTCCATTTAAAAAATGTTCCCACACTTCCCAAAAAGTGTGGGGGAAAAATATTTAAATATAATATTTGTATCATATCATTTTATCATTCAAGTTTTTGAAAGTGGACATTTTTATCCTGAGTGGCCAAATAGGGTAGTACATTTGAGTGATACCAGAGGGTTAGTCTAAAACTGTTTTGATCAATTAGGAGAGCCACATAAGTAAATCTGCTTCAATAAAATGTAGTAATTCAGGTTTTAGTTAACACATGTGTTGTATGCTTGTGTCTTTGTTCAGGCCTCTGCCTCTGAAGATGCCAAGAGGGACATGGCAAACACAGTCATGGGCATATACACACTTCAAAGAGATGTGGATGGGCAGCCAGAGGACGTGGGAATTGTCATCGAAGGCAATATAGTCATGGACAACTTGGGCAGCATGATTGTGGGGTTTGTCATGCTATTGGGACTTATTTATGCCCTGGATTTGAGCTTTCCGGACAACCTCAAACACACCTTCGAGTTCATGCAGAAGGTAGTGATGAATCTGGATGGGCACAAGCTGAATGGTAAAATCGAAAGTCTGAAGATCAAGTTGTTCGATTGAAATGTGAAAAAGAAGTGACTCATGAGTTCATTGTTGTCATTTTATTCACGAGTTTCCTAGTCAGAGCAGATTGAGCCGTTATATCAATCATTTGTTCTGTGCTTTTCTGTATTTGTTTCAACACACTGTAACACTATTTCCATATGTTGGTGTTTGCAGTGCACTCTTTATGTTATGTGTTATTGTCCTGTTAGAAGAGCAGTGCATACCCCTGTTATATTGTATTCATTGTATTTGGCAAAGGGAGATTTGTAAGTTAATTATAGGAGTTCCATTTCTCTGCCATTTTAAAAATGGTATTATCTTTCAGAAATGTTTTTCATCTTTCAGTGTGAATTCATTCATTTTAAAAAGACTGTATTGAATGGAGGATTGTTTTGAATAATGTGAATTTAAAAATAAAAAAAACTAAACCATGTTTTCTATCATGTGTAACACATTTTTATTAAATTATATTTAACCTCATTATTTCATTTTCAATTAATTAAATAGGATTTAGGTGGACTAGCATTATTTAAATTCATAAAGGTAATGTTATCATTTTACTTAAACTCTATTTGAAAAATTTGAGTTGGACTAACTCATTTACATTATACTGCATGGATGCCATTAGTTTGAGTTTGTGCCACATATATTTATTGGATGGAAAACCTGCCAACAATAAAATTGAGTTAATCCAATGAGTTATTTCTTTGAGTGTACCTCTTAGATACCTCGATTTTGGCTGACATGCTGTGTGCTGACCATGGATACATAAACTATAGGACTAGTCCTAACACAACTATCATGGCAAGTATGCAGAGGAACCATTCTATGATTGTCCAGGCTCTCCAGTCGTATCCACATTGCTCACGGTTGCGTCGTCGTTTTCCCAGGCGAGCCGTCGTCACGAGGTGGGAATGCCCCATGGGGTGTGTGTGTGTATTCCTTCGGTCGATTTTGTGACACGGACAGTCAGACTCCGCACACCGGTAACACAAACGAGGAACCAGAGGCATATGGAACCGCTCAGCTGGCACTCGCTCGTGACACCTTGTGTGTAGTGTGTTTTGGTGTATGTAGTGCAAGTGTGGTGCTGGTGGTGACTAGGACACGTCACTTGTTGTCGTCTTCTTCTTCTGTTGGTGACTAGGACACATCACTTGTTGTCGTCTTCCGTTGGTGACTAGGACACGTCACTTGTTGTCGTCTTCCGTTGGTGACTAGGACACATCACTTGTTGTCGTCTTCTGTTGGTGACTAGGACCCATCACTTGTTGTCGTCTTCCGTTGGTGACTAGGACACGTCACTTGTTGTCGTCTTCCGTTGGTGACTAGGACACGTAATTTGTTGTCGTCTTCCGTTGGTGACTAGGACACGTCACTTGTTGTCTTCTGCTTCTACCGTTTCTCCTTTCCTGTGACTACGACCTTGCAGTGGCTGGCGTGGACCCACGTAGCTCTCTCTCGGCGACCTTGACCGCTGTCTGGTTGACCAGAAGCAGGTAGGGGCCAACGATTGGATTTCCAATCGTACGAAGTCGCCGGGTTGGAGATGGTTAAGTGGACCAGTGGCAGTCGCTAAATTGGATGACAGGTTAACATACAACATAGCAACATAGCATCCTCACACAAAGTTGTGGAGGGAAGAGGACATCCTGGAGCCTTGAGTCCAATCTGTGGAGGAGCCCCAAAAAGGATTTCAAATGGCTGAGTTGGCTCCGTGTTCGTTCCCACATCCACATGTACATCAGCACAATGGACAGAGCTTGTGTCCATGACAGACCTGTGTCTGCACAGCATTTTGCTAGTTTGTTTTTGATTGTGCCGTTCTCTCTTTCCACCCCACCCCCACTCTGTGGATGATAAGCACAATGCTTTGTGATGTCTATGCCCATATATTCTCCTATCTGCGTAATGGTCTCATTAGCAAAATGTGAACCGTTGTCGCTAGAAATTTTGTCTGGTAGTCCCCATCTAGTAATGATTTCCCTCAGTAGTGCCTTTGCCACAGCATTTGCTGTCTGTGCTTTTACTGGGAAAGCTTCAACCCATTTGGACCACATGTCAACCACCACCAGACAGTGCTTCTTACCCTCAATGAAGTCCAGCATTAGGTGCTCAAATGGCCTGGTGGGAGGTGGATGTGCTCCGGGTCCTGTAACCTTTACTGGTCTACCAGAATTTTCATAATGCAAATTAGGCATGCTTCATGCTTTTGAGCTGTTACTGTGAACCCCCTTGTGAACCACTCCTGATGTATAGCTTCTAACATCCCCCCTTTTGACACATGGTCTAACCCATGTGTCAACTTAGCAAAATGAGGGAAGAAATGTCTTGGGAGACATGGATTGGAGTTTGGACCAACCCAGATGCTGGAGGTTGGGTCAAAAGCAGCCCCAACAGCCTTCCACTGAGCTTTCTCAACTGGTGTAGCTAGCTGCTGCATGGAAGTCAGTGACGACATTTTGTCAGTGAAGGAGGAGACAGGGATTTTTAACAAATGATTGTGCGTGAGGTGCGAGAGGAATCAGAGCAGCTGCCTTTGCTGCTGAGTCAGCAGATAAATTAGCGGACCCAATTTCTTAGGAAAACTGGGTCTGTACTGCTTGCAGAAATTGTCTACACTTCCAAATAGCCACAAAATCGTGTACTACCCCAAAAACATAGCGTGAGTCAGTGTAAATAGTCACGGTTTTGCCTTCTGCAAACGTGCAGGCTTCAGTTAGTGCGATGAGCTCTGCTGCTTGTGCTGAGAGGTGACATGGGATTGGTCCGGAACGGAGTACAGCAGAATCTGAAACAACAGGAAAAACCCCACCCGATTAGTGCCCCCTTGGTCGCGAGAGGCAGACCCATCAACATACAAAATGAGGTCAGCGTTGGTCAGAGGAACGTCTTTTAAGTCCGGTCTAGGTGTGCACACCATGAGAAGTTCGTCACCGTCTTCAGGCAAAGGCATACGAGGGTTCTTACACCTTTTCCAAAATCAAATTCAAGCACTTTTCAAGCATCTTACAGCTGTTGTAAATTACATATTTATATGCACATACTCAAATGATTATTTCCCTACCTCACATTAACTCAGATGTTCTTTATGCTATACACAACCAAATGTGTGTTTCGTGATAGCATTTTACACGAGGATGAAAAATTGAAGAAAAGAAAACTAAGTTTAATATTTCAAAATGAGTGATCTGTACATCTCAAAACCCAATTCAAGCGACCTTTCACCTCCACTTAATTAAATGCACTGGTTGCAAGATAAAAAATGTGAGTTAATTGATTTAGATAAACAGTTTAAGTTGCAACATTAATTTATAAGTTGTGTTGACGCAATAATGTTGGTAATTACATCAACTTAATATTGTCTCATTTGAACTCTGATTTCTGCGTTAATTGACTTCAACCTAAATTCAAGTTGAGGTATTGTAATGCAATTGGCTTGATAACTTAATTGTTCTACCCCTTGAGTTAAGGATTTCAAGTCCACTCCCACTTAAGATGCCTGGACAAGTTCCCACAGTTAAGACAAATAGAAATATACAAAGGACATTTTAAGGTGAGTGTCATCTTTTGTCATTCAAATTCAACTTGAAATTCAAACTCTCCCGATTGAAACATCATGTGTTGAAATAAACAACTGCAGTTCAAAAATAAAAAGTGAATTGCCTAATATTTTTGTTGTGGAATCAATTAATTTCTTTCTTTAAAGGCAAAAATATGAATAAGCTAAGAGAAAAACCCTATTGAATACAATATTATTTGGAGCAACTTAATTTACAAATGGCTGTCAACTTAAAAACATCTGTCCATGTTCAACATTTGGTAATTAAGTATACACAACTTAAGATTACATTTAAATCCTATGGTAAAACAAGTTGGAACTTTTGGAGTAATCAACTTAAAAACTATAGGTTACTTACGTAACCCCAGTTCTCAGAGTAACATGAAGTGAGATGTCTCACTATGGGATGCGCCTCATCGCGGAGCAAACAGAAGCATCAATCTCATTACGCCAATCCTGATTGGCTGGTGATCTTTGACGTCAGTGTCGGGGAAATCACCCCCTATAAGTAGCTTGCGCCACAACGCATGCGCCATTCAAAATAAGCACCTCTTCTCGCTTCACCATAGCAAGGAGGGCCGTCTGGTGAGACATCTCACTTCATGTTACTCTGAGAACTGGGGTTACGTAAGTAACCTATAGTTCTCATTCATAACACTCCGTTCGATGTCTCACTATGGGAAATTGTAGCTCCCGTATTGCCAGACGAGCTTATCTCGAAAATCACCAAACCAACCAGAACTTAACAGGTAGAGCTCTGACTCAACCAGGTGCCCAGCACTGCTTGAGTCACACTGGGAGCAGAACGTCCAGCCTGTTAGGAGGCAGACAAAAGTGAGCGGCGAGGACCAGCTCGCCGCTGCACCAATGTCTTTGATGGGAGACATCCTGGACAGAGTCCAGGATGCAGCCCGACCCTGAGTCGAAAGAGCTCGCGGACCCGAGGGTGCCTGCGAACTCTGACTCGTATGGGCCCCAAAGCAATTGCTTCCACAGACCAGTGGGAGAGCCGTTGCTTAGTAACAGGCTTGCCCTTATAAGGGTTAGCCCCGGACACAAGGGGTTGGTCATTATGACGAAGCACCCTTGATCTGTCCCTGTACGTGCGTGAAGCACGGGCTGGACTCGGCAAATCCGGCCGCTGTTCCCCGGAGGGATACAGTGGCGGGGAGGATGCCTTAATGTCAAATGTGGTACCCGAACCGACCGCCTTAAGATAAAGGCAGGGTTAGGCTTCAACCACACTCTGTTTGCCCTGGGGCAAAACTGAGTGCATGAAAACCGTACAGATAGTGCATGAGTGCCACTGGCTCGCTTGGAAGCTGCCAGGGTCAGCGTCATGTCACACTGTATTTAGATTGTACCACTCACGGGCCAGGCCCATAGAGCCAAGCGCTCTGGGTGTGGGTGAAAGATCGCCCCCCCCGCTTGGGACAGTATGTCCCTGCGTAGTGGGAGCTGCCATGGCTGCCCGCACAGCAGCTGATATATCTCCGCTAGCCAGTACATAGCTGGCCAGTTCGGAGCTATCAGGATAAGTGTGTGGCGTTGCTCTCTCACTCTGGCCAGAGTTGGGTATATCAGAGCCAGGGGTGGGAACGCGTACAGAAGGCCCGGGGGCCAATTGTGCACGAGTGCATCCATGCCTAACGGTGCATTTAGATCGCGCATCGAAAAGAACATCTGACACTGAGCGTTGTCTTTCGATGCGAACAGATCCACCGCGGCTCTGCCGTAACGCACCCACAGTTGGCTCACAATCCTTGGATGTAGAGTCCAGTCTGCATAAAGTGGTATACCTCTGGACAGTAGATCTGCCCCGAGGTTCCTCGCTCCCGGTACGTGCGTCGCTCTCAGAGAGAGGAGACGCCTACCGCTCCATAGGATAAGTTTGCGCGCCAGTGTGTGTAACTGGAGAGAACGCAAACCCCCTTGGCGGTTAATATACGATATTGTGGTCGTATTGTCTGTCCTCACGAGGACGTGATGTCCCCTGAGGAAAGGCAGAAAGCGTTTTAGCGTGAGAAACACCGCTAAAAGCTCCAGGTAATTTATGTGTGCCCGCTGGAGGTCTCTGCTCCAGAGACCCCTCACCGGGCGACCTTCATAAATACCTCCCCAACCTGTCAGACATGCGTCCGTGGTGACCACTTTCCGTGAAAGGACAGCACCCATAGGCACACCTCGTACTTAGAAAAGTCGGGTGCAGCCAGTGGCGCAGTGCCATTATGCATTTCACAGTAACCATCACTCTCGGGGTTTAGTTTTAGGGCGGCCACCCAGCGCTGAAACTCCCTCATGTGTAAGCGTCCCAGTCGTACGACCAGGATGGCTGACGCCATGAGCAAGGGCGCCGGAAGCGGGGGGGCCAGGGGGCCATTGCCCCCCCCCACTTTACGGCCCTGCCCCACATTTTCGCAGCTGCGGATGCCGCGGAACACTGTACAAATCCCGTTTCAATAATTCCCCTCTACTCTAAAGTCGCATCTAAAAAGACTTTGTAAAAACAGTGTCATTACTAAAGCAAATTAGTTGTTTGCACTATTTAGCTGAAATGTGCATTGCAATAATCCTATTAAGCAGAGATAACTCAGTGTGTTACGTTTCTGCAAGAGAGGGGAGGGGCTTCCACACACACATTGAGCATTAGTGCTGCAGCTGCACTGCACACAGTCAGAGGTGAAGACCGAGGAGCCCGCTAATTATTGCTGCTGCGTCTGGTGGTCCGACCGAATTTTGAAAATAACTTTACGTGGAATGGTGAGTTTGAAAACATCTATATCTATCTGTAGATATCTTTCTGTCAAAAATGTATTCGCTAAAAGACCTGCTCACAACAAGTTAGCTTAGCGCTAAAGCTGCACGTGGTTTAGCTAAAGTTACTTAACGGCTGATCATATGGTAACACAACCGATTTAAAATGGCTTTTCATAAGGTTGCACATGAGTGATTCGTCACATTTCTAACAGTAACTTAGCAAAATGTTCAAAGGAGCATGTCATTAAGGGGATATTAGCAGAGTTTAGCTAACGTTCTGCAGAGGTTAGTTAACGTTGTACAGAGGTTAGTTAACGTTTTGCAGTGGACTGCACCCCGTATACAAACATCACCCAGACTGCATTCTTTGTACTGCTTTAAAACCTTTCCTTAGAATATGTTATGAATTGTAAGGTGTCCCTGGGTGCTTTGAAAGGCGCCCCTAAATAGAATGAATTATCATTATTATTTATTATCTGAAACGATGTTATAACTTTTAAAACTTTTTCCAGTCACTTGCCCCATGCATTCAGCAGCAGCAGGCCATTCACTTTGATTTGACCCCGTTATGAAATGTCATCATTTCGACAATAAAGAAATGCTACATAAACGTTATCTTGCACATTCGATCTAACCATCTCCGTTTCTAACTTTCAATATATTTTAAAAGAGATCCCTCTCTCTCATCTGCGTGCGGGGGCGGGGCCTCACAGACACACTGCATCTCTCTCGCTCACAGACATGCTGCAGCGCTGTGCAGTGTGCACACAGCTCTGCCGGTAATGAATATTACATTTTGTGAGGAAACTTTTCCACCAATAATTCAAATAAGTAATCCAAAATGTATTCACTTCAGGTTTACGAAAGTAACTGTAATCAGATTACTCGTTTTTCAAATGTAACGCCAGCTGAATTCAGTTAGCCTACTTGATTTTTGTATTCTGATTACGTAACGCCGTTACATGTATTCCGTTACAACCCAACCCTGCTTCTAGGCTACTGTCCCGCAGCTCCTGCCTCTCTGTTGGACTCTGTCGCAGCGGGGCTGCTGCTGTGGTGCGGAGCGCACAAACCAGACTCTTCACAACGAAGGATCACTTCTTCTTCAAGACAGGGAAGGTTTTGCAGTAAGCAGTCTACTGTCCCACAGCTGCTGCCTCTCTGTTGGACTCCGGTACTGCACACAGTGGTTACTGCGAACGCAGTAACCACGCCGCAGTCACCCCCGTCGTGCGGGCCGGTGTCAGTACCAGATATGTTCGGGCTACCAGATATGTTCGGGTGTATTTCCGTCGCATCCGTCATATCCGTCATATACTCACCTCCCTCGGCTCCCAGCGCTCTGCTGCCACACACCGGCCGTCTGCGGAACTGCAGCCGGAGGAACTCGGGACAGCTTGTTATGTGTGGGGTGCTATGGTGGGGTCCCATTGTGCACATAAATAATGTTTCTAATTATTTACAATTAAAAAATATATATATTCTGCGTTACTTTAGCCAACACTTTTATAAGGCCACTAGATTAGACAATTACGAAATGTGTAGATAGAATACATATATTTCAGGTTGTTATTTTGTTTAATGTTTTATTTACCTTTTAGTATTTGTATATAGTATCTGAACTTTGGAGAGGAGTTGGGAGACACACGACACATCAAATCACATCTACAGATCAAGGCGAAGCGAATGGAAGTACTCCCATACTCCTAGCGTGAAAATGTTTGTGAAAACGTGTGCAAAGTCTCCGAAAATCCTAAAAATAAGCTCATATTTGAATTCCCCATAAAAAAACACATCATTCAGTAAAAACAAGGCCCCACTGATCATCTACTCTCTGAGACGATTCCAGGGATGTCTGGCTTGAGTTTCGACCACCAGGGAAAGTGGACAAAAGTGCCCGAGATCAGCCTCTTAATTTACCCAGGGCCTAGTGCTTGGCTTTGGGCATGAAAATTCAGGAAACTCCCCTGAGTATTTTATTAAATATCTGAACTTTGGAGAGGAGTTGGGGGACACACGACACATCAAATCACATCTACAGATCAAGACGAAGCTAGTGGAAGTACTCCTAGCGTGTGAAAAATGTTTGTGAAAAACGTGTGCAAAGTCTCCGAAAACGGAGCAGTGGCTGTGATGCTAGCTTTGCGGCTAGCGGTTAGTTGTTATTGTTTGAAGTTGTTGCTATGGAAACAACATGACGGAGAATTTTTTTTTATCTTCTACATATAATAACGGACAAAGTAAAGAATGAAGTGTAGGCTATGCCTGTTTGAAGTTGTTGCTATGGAAACAACATGACGGAGAAAAAGTATAATCTTCTACATATAATAACGGACAAAGTAAAGAATGAAGTGTCGGCTATGTTTAAATGTTCGGAATTTGACCGTGTATGTTGGCCCTCTTGATTTGCCGTACAATCCGTCATATGACGGATGACGGATGCGACGGAAATACACCCGAACATATCTGGTAGCCCGAACATATCTGGTACTGACACCGGATGAGAATGTCTGGCGGGCCGGATGTGGCCCGCGGGCCGCCAGTTGGTGGTCACTGCTGTACAGTAAGGGCCATTTGGGTTTGTTCCTTCTACTTGTGGCTGATTTAGGAAAGTAGGCTGTGTGATAGATATCCACAGCTGCCTCAGGCGTTTTGCCATCTATTTGGGTCACATGATGCCCAGACTACTACAATTAGCATTACAATATTGGACTAGTCATCATGTTAGTGGATGGCTATCAGCTCCCCTCTGCTGTCCCTGCACAGGACAGATGAGATGTATAAGTCTCTTCATTATTTTCCATCAGTTTGTGAACGGAAACTGTTTTTTGGTGGTGTTTTTCCGGAATCATAGACATGCTTTCCTCTTTGACTATTGTCTCTCTTGAAGCGTGTGCATGAGAGCTCTTTTTTTGGCACAGCTGGTCACATTTTAAAAGAGTTCTTCTTCCTGGCTGACATTGCACATAAAGCCTCTGCCTAACCATAACACTTCTTCTAACATCCAACGGTAGTAGAACATCGGAAAGACAAACAAAAGTGAGAGAGGAAAATGTTGAGTCTTCCTTACATGCAGTACAAGTAGAACGAGTTCCACTATAAGCTGACAACGTTTTCTACCTTTTTAAGTGAAGCTTTGTTTGTGTTTTTATTCTTCCTTAAAGAATACTGTGAGGCCTGAACATCATAAGCGCAAGGTGAGCCTCCACTCTTGTGTAAACTGTAGCGATCTGCTGATTTAGTCAATCATATCTGCATGTACATAAAGATAAAAGTTGTTTTGCATTACAACTTTTCCTGCTTTATAAGAAGGATCACTTAGTGACGTTAATGCCACATACAAATTAGTTCACCATAGAGGGCAATGTTTGTTTATAGGCTGCATCAGTTAATGAGTTTATTTTTAAATTATCTTAAGCCATAACTGGAATGTTATTGTTTTTATTATTATTTATTATTTAAAACATTTCTATCTATATTATTTTTCATAACCCATTCCAGCCCTTATTAACCATTCCTGCTTTTTGATAAATCACAGCTCTTATAGATTTGAGGACATCAATCACAGCATGAGCTCCTTGATGCATGTTCACTTTTCTGATTTAGAGATCTTTTATTTTTTACATCTTCATGTAAGGAACGATCTTTTCCATCACATCTTTTCTAAAAAACTACAATGTACGCAGAATTCCAACCTCAGGAAAGGTGATGAACAATTTAATTTATGCCTGACCACAGTTTTCCTTTTCAGGGCGTGTGAAAGCCATGTGAGAGAGGTTACAGTGTGTGTGCTCTATGTTCATGTCTGATGTGCATTCCTGTGTGGGCGGTAATGGTAGAGAAAGGCTCTACATTGATTGTTTCCTGACCCGTTGAATTATTGATCTTCACCACACCAACGCTGCAATGGGAAGCTCTCTAAACAATGTGTTCAGGCTTGTAAGTCAACAATAATGCAATAACAATGGCAGTTGTCAATTAATTGTATTGCAGTTAAAGTCTGTGATGGAATATGAGTCATCTCGGCTCAGAATCAGTTGATGTAAACTGTCTGTTTGCAAAGCTAATACTTTAAAACAAACGGTTTAATCCTTCTGCACACCGCAGAGAAACCTCACCTGTTTATCTGTTTAGTTATACATTCAGGCCTGTTCTGTGTGCTAGGGTATGATGTGCTTAAATAACATGTTTCCGCAATGAGAGACTTGCAGCCGCACCATCCAGAAATCATAACCATAACATCTCATTAGAGGAGCTCAAAGATTCTTTATTGCGTTTTTAAGCCCAGAATTAAATGGGTTTCACAGAGGAGGAAGATCACACTGGGAGGTTAAATGAGGAGTTGTCAGTGTGGAGTGTTATGAATTGCGTTACTGTCATAAAGGGCCCTAGGAGATTAATGAAGGCTGCTGCCAGATATGAAAGCACAGTGTGAGAGGAAAAGTGTTGATATGATGCATTGCTCTAACCAGAATATCACATTACCTTCCAGGTAGGAAACATTGAAGGTTTTCCACTCAGAAGTGATAAGTTGCCCGTCGCAATAGTCTTTTATCAGCCATCAGACTCTGAGAAATGTGCCTGGAGGTTTTACAGACTCAGCTTGTAATCTATTAGGGTTGTTATAGAAATTGATTTGCTTCACTCAGTTCTGCTGAATTCTTCTCTCTCCTCATTTATACTCTGTGTTTTTCTCTTCCTCGCTCCATTTGCATTGACATGTTTGCTCTTTTTTTCAGCTGCAGAGACTAAAACGCTCCTTGTCCTTCAAGACCAAGACCATGCGCAGCAAGAGCGCGGACAACTTATTCCGAAACAGCAACGACAACAAGACGGAGCTGCTCTCAGACGTGAGCAGCAGCACGGGACATCTCTGCAACATGGCCCCGCCGCACACCACCCACCTGCCCATCCCCCCCGTCCCTCCAGTCATCCCCTCCGCTCCTCCCCCCAACTCACGGTCCCAGATACGCAACCCGCTGCAGGTAGACTCGGCAGGACACTGCTTCATGGAGCACATCTTCAAGAAGCCCATGTTCTGTGACGTCTGCAACCACATGATCGTAGGTATGGTTACATCGCCTGACACGTTGGGCTCGTAAGAACTCAGATGCTCGATTCTGTTGCTTTGTAATATTCTTTATTTCCAAGAATACAAAGCTTTCCAATCAACTTCTAGGATCTACTAGGACTCTCCAAGAATCTCTAGGTTCTACTCGGTAGTGCAAGAACAGGTCTATGGAATACAGGCATGGACATGACGAAAAGACAAGACGAACCAACACCAGACAAAGGGAGAGGCGGACTAAATATACACTTTAGGTAATGGGACACAGGTGGACACAATTAGGGGCGGGAATAACAATCAGCCTAGCAGGTGCCACACGGACAGGAAGTGCCGACACCTGGAGAGAGAGAGAGCAGAGCAATTAACATCAACAGACAGATAGACAAAACACTAAACCCTTACACCGCCTCCCTCCTTCATTAGTGGAAGCAGAGTATCTAACTAAGATCGTAGGAGAAAATAAAATCCTGCACATCATCAGATGAACTTTGCAATCAAAGCATTGAGAATAACCTTTTCTTAATGAGGCCTTCATCAGATAACCTGAGGAAGTTATACATAAAAAGGCTCCAACATCAGAATAACAATTAGAGAGTTATAAATATGCAATAATATGCACATACGGTTTGGACGCCAACCTTGTTTTTTTTTATCATCCTTAAAACATTTTGAACACAGAAGCCATATTCATAAAAACACTAATTAAGGCACCTGATACAGAGCATCCATCTCGACCAACAGACTTGGGACCATAGTATCTCCATCCTTTTCTTTTTGGCACGCTGAGCCAGGTTCCTCCATCTGTCGGCCGAGGTGTCAGATAGCCAGCTGCTCTAGCTGTTCTCCCCCTGCCAGATGTTCTGTTTTCTCTGGCTGCCCCCCCTCCTTGTTAACTATCGGTTCAGAGGGACCACTAGGACTTTGTGTCTCAGGGCATCTGCTGATTGATAATGATAGCTGCTCCCCGAACCATCTGCCCAACTAGCCCCTGATACCACAGCAGATAAAGGACAACAGACCAGTGACAATGTGGGCAGGTTGAACAAATAAATGAATATATATCAGTGTGCCAACAGTCTTTGCTTTTTTGTCAGACTAATGGAGTGTTGCCTGTGTGGGGTTTCCAGTGGCTGAGGCCTTGAATGGATAATGATAGTGAAAGGATGATGTAAGGTCCTGTGAAAGGTGCTGATCCCTCTGGTCCAATCATGAAGGAAGATGAGGCCTTCTTCTTAATTTGTCCTGTTTTCATTTTAACATACTATCTTGCATGTGTGTTTTCATGGTGCTGTCATAGTCCGACTCTTGACATCCAGAATCAAGGGTGGCTCACAGGAGACAGAGAGACACATAGTTGTGTTAAAAGATACTTAAACTGTACAAGTACAAGCAAACTGTGATTAATTCATCCTAATGGCAATTCATTAGAAAGCTTATGGAGTTGAAGAAGTACAAGTGTATTATAATTATCGATGATTCATAGATGTGGATAAGGTTCTCAGAAGTGAAATGCTTCTTGTAATTCAATGGATATAAGTGTACAGTAGACTAAATATAAATATAGGAATACATATAAATGTGTTAATTTGTCAGTTTAATGATAAAAATCCAAAATAACTTACATATTCACCACCTTAAACTTAAATAATATAGTATATATGTCTTTCTTTTTGGTGTCTGTATACGCAGGGATCCGGAGTCATGGATGATCCTGCGCTCCTCTGTCCTGGATCTTGAGTCGTGGCTGTGGTCCTGGATCATAGGTCCTGGATGGATATCCTCGTGGATTCATCTTCCTATTATACACACATGCATTTCCAAACATTTGGACTACCTATGTTGCAAATGTATTATCTTTTCAATTTACACACGGCATCTATTGCACGTTTGTCCGTCCTGGGAGAGGGATCCCTCCTCTGTTGCTCTCCCTGAGGTTTCTCCCATTTTTCCCTTTAAACTGTGGGTTTTCTTCGGAAGTTTTTCCTTGTACGATGTGAGGGTCTAAGGACAGAGGGTGTCGTATTGTCATACTGATATTTTGTACAAACTGTAAAGTCCACTGAGACAAATGTAACATTTGTGATATTGGGCTATATAAATAAACATTGATTGATTGATTGATATATCATTGGAAATGGAAAGGACATGTTGATCCTTAAATGGATTAACACTTATTTTAACTCAAGGTTTAATCTTCATCAATGTTACTGTTTCAATATTTATAATACACCCTATATACAGCTACATATGTAGATTGATAGCATAATGGTAATATGCAAAAGATAGCCTGGTACATTAAACACCCACCTTTTGTTTCCTGAAGGAGGATCCCTTATTATGAAAGCCTGTGCAAATTAAACACGTCATCCATAATAGAAATGGCTGAATCATATTATAGTGCTCACTGACTCATTTATAAGGTTTACTAGATGAAATAGAGCCAAGCTAGATTAGTAAATCTTTAATAGAGCAAAAACATATTACCATTTTTCTGGTAGGCGTTCATCTTTGTTTTGAAACCCCTTTGTAGAGAGACTAGCTCATACATGGTGTTCAGTTGAACAATTGCTATTCAACATTAGGAAAATAAAGAATTTATAGGGATAATCTTAATGTTATGATTAAGAAGAGAATCACTGTCAGTGACTCTGCTTTGTCACAAGAGGAGTCCCCTTTTGTGTATCTAGAAATGTACTCAAAACCAGTATAAAGAAGAGAGGTACAGCCAGTATACACCCACAGTCCATCACACAGGTGTTTTCAGTTTGAATAGATCTCGTGCTTGATTGACATCTCCCTCTCTTCCTACTGTTAGATGTGTTACATCTGTAAGGGGCGGAACATCCACGCTGTTATCTTTATAATTAGCTTAATTTCTAGTCTAATCAGCCAGGTTTATGGAAAACACCTTTGTGGGTGGGCCCACTTAAACCCAGATGTGCCCTTAATGTGATATAATTAGGAGAAAATTGTTGAAAAGATTGTTCAGAAATCTGATATGGAGAAGTATGTTACTGTACAACTTTTACATTTTGCCATCACATGAAATATAGACTTATATCATGTTTGTAGAATCAGAAAAACACAAAAATGTTGTTAAATTGTGCTAAATATCCACTATTTTAGATATTTGTTGCACTGCACTGATCTGCACATCTATGATGTTGAGTTCATAAATACCAACAAAGATTTTAAATATTTTAAATAAAGCATATCATACTTAATGTAGACTTAGTGCATATTGGATTACTTGTGTCGAAAGGCTAAATATAGTATGGTAAGATAAACTCACAGGTAAATAGTTTGTGTCTTTAGATTTGTTTTTAGGCAAGCTCAGAGAAGATTTGTTTTAAAAAATGCAGTTTCAGTAACAAAGAAGTGTCTTTGGTTTGCATGCTCTACCACTTCTTCCTGTATTTATTCCAAGGTGACCTCGCTATTTTTGTGTCTCATCCAATGTAGTTTTCCTAATCATTACACGGGTTAAATGCTATGTTCAGTGTGCAGCCTTTTGTCTAAGCTAGCGTTTTGTTTTTAGGCTCACAATGAGTTAGGTCCACTGGTATATAAAACTGCTCTGATCGAGTACAGCCTTATGCTGAGATATTGATTGCGGATCTTTGCAGAAAAATGCTTATTAAATCAATGTCTAACGGGAACGGGATAGTTACTTGTGCCTGATGGAGCGTCAACATAATTTACTGCGAAGGCTTAACAAATATATTTATAGATTTTAGGTTATAAAGTCGTAACACATTCCAAACAAGGAGTATCATTAGTATTACTTTATTTTTCTCTCTCTGCATATTCATTTGTTACTCATTCACACACCTCTGCACAAATGCACACACACAAATATTTTTGCAGTAAAGTCAGATTAATCTTCATTTATTGTAGCGACTGTGAGTCAGGTATTAATAAGAGAGGGTAAACTGCACACAGGCAGCAATTTAAAAAGTGTTCTCATGGGGCAGATACCACTGGCTCAGTCACAGTCTGTTTTGTTAAAATGGTTTTGCTAAAATTGCACATCACGTTTGCTAAAAGTATCACTGTTAAAATATTCCACATGTCTCTTCCCAGTTTCCCCCTAGTGCACTCCGGGAAAAATTCTAAGCTTGCAACAAGTGTGACGAGGAATAAATGAATGTGAAGGACTTCTGAACAACATTTTCCATGCCTCTGCCTTTCTGTGTGGGATTTACTGTTCACTTAGGAGCCCCATTCGAGTCCAGCTCCTGACAGATCCTGTCTTAACCTCTTAAACCTTTTGTGTGTGCATCAAGTACAACAGCCAAGCATGTGGTGTTCCTGGCGGGAAACACAGCAAAGCACGGCCTCCGCTGCAAAGCCTGCAAGATGAGCCTCCACCAGAAGTGTGAAAACGGAGTGGGACAGCAGCGCTGCATGGGCAAACTGGTGAGATGCATGACACAGAAAAGTAAAAGACACCAGGTCACAATGTACCACTTTTGCCACTTTACTGTCAACAGTTTGGGAGATTGAGCTTTTAGTTACTGAAACCAAAACAGACATATTATAATTGGCCATGTGTCTTTCCCACAAGAATGTGCTTATTCAGAAATCACACTTTGTGTGAGCTTGCTGGTACATCTGTCCATCCTCTTCGCTGATCATCGTTATATCATCACTCTGAGTCTTAGATAATATCAACGAAGCAAAATAACTGCTGACGTCCGTTAAGTTCTGCTGCCAGCATTAGAGCATTAAAACAGGATCAATCACCCAAAAGCAGTTTTATAACAGCTATTGAAGAGTTCACACGTAACAGTTTTATGATATGTTTGGCATTTCACAATCTCACCTTTGCCTTGATGTCTTTTTTAATATGTAAGTCAAGCCTTGGTCGTCAAATTAGGGGTTGTAAAATAATATTTGGAATATTTATCCCATCATTTATTCAACTTTAGCCTTTACATTTTCTATAAGACACAATGAGATTCTAGTTCAATATCACAACAATGTGGAAGTTGGCGGTATTTATCAGTGATCAGTGATTGGTTTCAAACATACTGAAAGCTGCCTTTGATTTGTCCCTGAAAAGCTGATAAGAGAAAAGGTTAACATCATTCACCTTTCCTGCAATGTTATCTAATAAAATGCTTCTACGCTGATATAATTCCAGCAATTTACTTCCCTGAGTTGTTTGATATTAATTACTCTGTTAATGAGCAATAAACGTGAGCAAAAACAGAGGCAAACTGTTTGGATAGAGCTTATAGGTTGAATTTAAATGTGCCTACTTGTTGACATAAAGAACTAGAGCAAAACTGCCTCATGAAATATTTTATTTAATAGTTGGTACAGTCAATACGTCTTTTCAGCTTTTCAGTGCTGTTACATCACAAGTCAGAGGCATTGACCCTGTACTGTAATAACCTCACAGCTGTAAAACCACACACTCGTACCAGCATAGTTATAATTTATTATAATTAAGTGATATGTAATTATATGAGTGATTTAAAGCTCTAATGTGATCACTCATCTGTGAACCTGCATTAAAAGGCAAACCAGGCGTTGGTCTGTGAGATTTTTTTTGACTGGAGAGTACTCAGTTACACCAGCATAAGCCAAAGCACCAAAAAAAAAATCATTGCTTTCACTTCCATTGCCGTGGAGCAAACTGGCAGTGAGGAGTGGACTGGGACTCTTTAGTCATCTGCACACTGAGAAGAAAGGGAGTGTAACACTGTCAGATCAAATTAAGTGTGATTTCATACCTTTCATACTCTGTTCCCCACAGTATTTGGCTAATCCCTTCCCTACAATTGAACTGGAATCATTTGAGGCGATTTGGAATAAGCAAATGTCAATCAGCAAGAATAAAGTACGTCATATGGAAATTATATAGAGGAAATAGTCGCAGTACAGGCAGTCTTTTTCCCTTCCTGTTGTTTCCACTAGATGCTTAAGGGATGAGGCATTTAGATATGATCGACTCTCAGGAGTGGAAAATGAGGTCGAGAGATCAAGCATAAAAAAGGAAGTTTTCCCAGTGGAGCACGGCTCTAATTTCGACTTATTCTAAACTTGGACACTTCAGCAGCCATGCTTGTTTCTCTTGGCTTGAGAATAGTTTAGCAAAGAAGTCAAGTTACCTCATGCTCTGAATCTTTATTAACCATGAAACCAGTGTGTCGCTTTTCTTTCATGGATTTCCTTACTGATACAGTCACAATTCATTCATATCAAATGTAGTTTTAAAATAAATGTAGTATTCAACAGCACTTGTTTGTCAACAATTTGGTAACGCAACCTTCCTGAACTTCACCTTCAGCTTCGTCAAACTCATAATCTCCCCCTGTTTTTATTGTTGTGTATACAGATTCTTTTCTAATAAGACAGGCGTCTATGACTTTTTTCAAGATCTCCCTAGAATCAGTTTTCGAGATGGGCTTTAATGCTCAAGGCTGGCTTTTTTCTGTGTTTCACATCAGAAGTGTCAAAAGAATAATTCATGACAACTGATGATTAGCAATGAATATTTTACCGCCTGCCACTTGAATACATAAAATGTAAACAAACTGAAAAAAGGCAGTCCTGTGAGATGTAGGTGTCCAACACTAATGCTCACATCCACTCAAGAATAAATGGATGAAAATGAAATCACAAAGAGAAAAAAAACCTGAACATATATAAATGAATCATTACCCAGTGTGCTCAGATCTTATGGAACGAGAAGATTTCCATTGTCTTTCTTCTTTATCTACCAAGGATTTAAAACTGTTGGGTAGTATTTATTGGATGGATAATGGATATATAAATGATAAATGTTTGAGTGCCTTTGGAGATTGGATGAGGACGTGACAGGCAGATAAATGCTGACCATGAATTTCTGAAATGTTTTTCTAGTCAGGTTAATTTCGGTGGACAACTTGACATATGACACATAGGCCCTTTATCATTTCTCTAACTCCCCTCCTCGACTCCTATCCTCGAGACTTAGTCCCGCCCACAGGAGATGCGAGCGGAGGAGCCGAGGAGAGAGGGGGGGAAGCAGCAGGCGGTTAGAGAAATGAGAACTCCTCTCCTCTGAGCGGTCATTTTAAAGAGACGTCCATTAATGATGACAGGAGGCACAGCAGCCCTCTGTGCTCTCATACTTGTTTGATTCTGAAATTGGATATATTTATATAAATATATGTGTGTGTATATGTCCGCATCTGTAGCCTGTTATTGTCTCATTATACCGCACTGTCAATTAATTAAAAGTAAATATATAAGTCGTCATGAACACATCTGTCCATCAGACAGAGGGCTCTTTAAATGACCGCTCAGAGAGGAATTCTCATTTCTCTAACCGCCTGCTGCTTCCCCTCCTCTCTCCTCGGTTCCCCTCCTCAGTCCTCCGCTCGCATCTCCTGTGGGCGGGACTAAGTCTCGAGGATAGGAGTCGAGGAGGTGACATTTGAGTAGTGAGAAACCTCTATCGAAACATCTGTTCCCGGAAATGCATCCACGAAGGAGCCGTGGAGGACCCATCAGTGTATCCTCGGTTATAGCTCCTCCAGAGAGCCTCCTCGACGCTCGGTCTTCGAAGTGCATTTAGAGAAATGAGATGTCCTTCAACATGGCGCACTGAAATTCATTTCCGGGTCACTACCGGAGGACCGAGGAGTCGAGGAGATGAGAAAGGGCCAGGGTCTTCTCTTGCATTTTCAACTCTGGTTGTCTAACTAAAACTGTTACGGTGTGTGAAGCAGGCAGGACCCAAATGCAGATTAAAGTGAAAATTCCTTTATTTCAAGGCTAGGTGATAAACAAAGACAAAACAGAACACTCACCGACGAACTAGTCATGACACAAGACGAACCGACACTGACCACAGGAAGAGACAAGACTAAATACAGGGAGGGGTAATCACAAGACGAGAAACAGCCGGGGAGGAGAAACACAAGGGCCACAGGTGAAAACAATCAGACAACTAGACACACCAGGGAAACTAACGACGGGAGGAAAAACACAGGGAAAAGGACCAGACAATATACCTAGAGGAAAACATGACCGGGAGAACAGCAAAACACCCAAACCAAGACATAGAAATCGTGACATAACACAATAATAGTAACAGAACCCCCCCCCTCAAGGGACGGATTCCAGACGTCCCTAAAACACCAAAACAGTCCCATAAACGTCCAAAAAAACAATGTCCAGCAGGGTGGGTGGAGAGGGACCGGAGGACGGACATAAAACTAGGGCCACCAGGGTGGGTGGAGGGGGTCAGGAAGACGGGTTTGGGCTGACAACCCAGGAGCACCGCGGAGGATCCGGAAGGGATCTCGGGCGGACGGCCCGGGGGCAAGGCAGAAGGCGAGAAGGGGGACTCGGGCGGATGGCCCGGGGGCAAGACAGAGTCCAAGGTGGGGGTTATGGAGGGGCGAAGGCCACCGCGGCCGGGAAAGTCAGGGGGCCGGGCTCGAGGGCGAAGACTAGACAGCTCCGGAGGCCGGGCAGGAAGGCGCTGACGGGACAGCGCCGGAGGCCGGGCAGGACCCGGTGTCGGCCGGACAGGAACCGGAGCTGGTGGGACAGACCTCGGCAGGATCCCCCACGGAAGAGGACCAGGACACGGGATTGGCAGGACCCCCGGCAGGAGGGCAGTCGGCGGGACCTCCACCGAGACAGGACAAAGGGTTGGCAGGACCCCCGGCAGGAGAGTAGATGGCGGGACCTCCAACGGGACAGGACAAAGGGTTGGCAGGACCCCCGGCAGGAGAGTAGACGGCGGGACCTCCAACGGGACAGGACAAAGGGTTGGCAGGACCCCCGGCAGGAGAGTAGTCGGCGGGACCTCCAACGAGACAGGACGAGGAGCTGGCAGGACCCCCGGCAGGAGAGTAGACGGCGGAACCTCCAACGGGACAGACATACGATTGGTAGGACCCCCGGCAGAGGAATAGTCGACGGGGCCTCCAACGGGACAGGACATGGAGTTGGCAGGACCCCCAGCGGAACCTCCAATGGACCAGGACATAGGGTAGGGACTTGAGACGTGACTCGAGAGGAGACTCGAGAGGGGAACCAAGGGGGAACTCGAGAGGAGACTCGAGAGGGGAACTAGAGAGGGGACTCGAGGAGAGACTAGAGGAGGGACTAGAGAAGGGAACTCGAGAGGGGACTCGCGAGGGGAACTAGAGAGGGGACTCGAGGAGGGACTAGAGAGGGGACTCGAGGAGGGACTAAAGGAGGGACTAGAGCAGGGACTAAAGGAGGGACTAGAGGATGGACTAGAGGAGGGACTAAAGGAGGGACTAGAGGAGGGAACTGGAGAGGGGACTCGAGAGGAAACTTGAGATGGGGCTGTGGCAGCTGGGGCCAGAGCTGGGTCTGGAACCATGGCTGCGGGGGCCGCAATTGAAGCCAGAATCATGGCTGTGTGGTCCGGTTCTGGAGCCGGA